AGCTCAGCTTCATGACCGCGGTTTGTATTCCAGGTGCAGGTTGAAAGCTGAATAAACCAACGCGGTTTGTATTCCAGGTGCAGGTGCTGCCACCAACTGGATGGACCAAGCCTTTGTTCCAGGGTGGAGGTGGCCTGCGGTGCTGCCACCAACTGGATGGACCAAGCCTGTGTTCCAGGGTGGAGGTGGCCTGCTGGGTGAACCAAGCCTGTGTTCCAGGTGCAGGTTGAAAGCTGGATGACGGGTTTAAGTGGGCGTGGTGAGACATTGGTGAAGGGTGCTGTTTGTTTTTATTCGGGGGCGGGCGGGTTTGTATTCCAGGTGTAGGTTGGTGCCAGCTGCATGAACCAAGCCTGTGCCTGTGTTCCAGGCACAGGTTGCCACCAACTGGATGAACTGCTGGGGGTTTATGTGTTCCAGGTCCAGCTTGTGAGCCGGTTGGACGGGCGTTGTAGTGGGAGAGGAGCACTTGGTTTGTGGTTCGCAGTTTCAACTGGAGGAATCAACTGGAAGCAGTGGAAGATCTTTGCACCACTTATATAAGTCCATGTTAATGAATCGGTCAAGTCTGTCGAGCCAGGTGCAGTTCGCCAGCTGGGTGGGCTAAATGACAAGTCTGCTGGGAGATTTGGGTGGGTCCATTTGGGCGATCGGATTGTTGTGGAAGGGTGGGGGATGGTGTATATCGCTGCGCGCATCAACAGATTACCCACGCTGCTTTGAGAAGGAAGAAGATCCAAGTATGACAGGTAGGGTGGATTAAGTGAAAGTGTCTGTCCTGTTGTTAATGGGAGAGGGAGGAGAGAAAGAAACTCGTTCACCCTCACCCTTAGTTAACCGACCTGTCTGTCTGTCTGTCTGTCTGTCTGTCTGTCTGTCTGTCTGTCTGTCTGTCTGTCTATCTGTCTGTCTCTGTCTGTCTGTCTCTGTCTGTCTCTGTTTGTCGGTCTGTCTGTCTCTGTCTGTCTCTGTCTGTCTCTGTCTGCCTGTCTGTGAAGGGCTTTGCAAGGATGGGAATTGATGAGGACTTATTTGTTTGGAACATGAGGAGACTTGCTGCAGGGCAGAATCTGAATCCTTTCCTGAACGATATATTGTCGTATACACAGTGGCGGTCTTTGCTGCGTTATCTCGCTCTTGTGGTCTCACGTTGAGGCTTTGCCTCTCCTGTCTTTGGGTCTGGTCACCCCAGAGGTAATCAAGGTTTTAGGTTGGTACTAACTTGGTATATACTTCAATTGTTGTTAAACCACCAGTACATGGGCACCTAGGCAGCGGGTCTGACACCTCAAATTCTGGAGGCGCGAAACGAAAATGGCACCTCCGATCGATTTATCAACAACGGGCCCAGCGTTTGACGTTTCGGCCTCGCTCGTTTTCTTGTTGCGACAAGTTATACACACCACACCCCACCCTACCCCACCCCACCCCATCAAGTGCTTCTGAGAGAGGTATGGAAGGACGGACACGAACACACACAAGAGTGCGACATAACAGTCTGTCACAGTAGTTCTGTTTTGTTTCATGGAGTTGTGTATAGCGAACATGACAACACTCACTCACTCACTCACTCACACACACACACACACACACACACACACACACACACACACACACACACACACACACACACACACACACACACACACAC